ACTTTGAAATCTGGAGGTTTAACAATTTGTGACTTAACACTCTCTGGTACAATCCAAGAATCCGTATGTCCTACAGGATGTATTTGTCTTTCATATGTTTTCAGCTAAGATTCCTTTAAGTACCAGTCAGAGCAAAAATTAGACTTCTTGATGTTTCTCTTCTTGATAGCTGCAATTGCATGTATACATGGTAATTCATCAAATTGAAACTGAAAACAATCACATGTTCTTTTATTTAAGTCCACCAAGAAAGTAATTCCTTCTTCCTCAACTCTAGAATGCCATGAATCAACAGGGAAGACCTTCAAAGTTGAAAAACTATAAGTTAGTACATTATGTTAAATTATCATTAAAATAATAAGCTAAAGTAAGAACATAATACTTACATTTAAAGTAAAAGCTAAATATATCTTTTTCTTCAATTCCTCTTCTACCCAACAAGAAACGTCATAAAAAGTTTCTTTTGCTTTATTTTTTCTTTCATAAAACCAACATTGTAGCTTCACTTGGATAAAATCCATCATTCTTAATATAGGCAACTCCCTTGCTTCTAATAGCACAGAATTCATTGACTCAACTATGTTTGTTGTGAGCATGTCATATCTTCGTCGTGGACTACAAGAACGTTCCCACCTTTCTGGTGGTTCTTCCATCAAGTAGTCAAAAGTCTTCTTATCAACTTTTGTTATATCTGACATGTATAGATCAAATTCTTTGCGCTTGTATACTCTTGCAGCACTTTGGAAAAGTTTAATGACCTCACTTTTCACTTTCCTTCGCTTTAGGTTCTGCTCCAAATGATAGATACAAATCCCATGGTGGCTTTCAGGATATACCTTTGCAATGCCATGTGCAATAGATTGATGCCTGTCCGATAAAAAAATTAAATTGTCACGGCTCCCAATTGCATTGCGAAGCTCACTAAAGTACCACTCATAGGAATTGTTATTTTCAGATTCTGCAATTCCAAAGGCTAGTGGGAATATTTGGTTATTTGCATCCTTTGAAACTAAAATCATTAAAGCAACACGATATTTTGACTTCAAAAAAGTTGCATCAATAACAATCACTGGTCTACAATGATTCCAACCAGCTATTGATGATCCATATGCATAAAACATAAAAAGAAACCTGAAAATACAGTTTAACAGAAGGTTAAAAATACAGGACACCAAATCCTTAACATTTACACTGCACACATTAAAGTTAAGGACATCTTGTCCTTAATATTTTCACTGCACACATCAAAGTTAAGGACATCTTGTCCTTAACTTTTACAATGCACACATCAAAGTTAAGGACACCATGTCCTTAATATTTTCACTACACATATTAAAGTTAAGGACACAATGTCCTAACATTTTCAGTGCATACATCAAAGTTAAGAACAACTTGTCCTTAACTTTTAGAATGCACACATCAAAATTAAGAACACCATGTCCTTAACTTTTAGAATGCACACATCAAAGTTAAGGACATCATGTCCTTATCATTTTCACTGCACACATCAAAGTTAAGGACACCGTGTCCTTAATATTTTTACTACACACATCAAAGTTAAGGACACCATCTCGTTAACTTTTTCATTGCACACATCAAAGTTAAGGACACCATCTCGTTAACTTTTTCATTGCACACATCAAAGTTAAGGACACCATATCCTTAACATTTTCACTGCACACATCAAAGTTAAGGACACAATGTCTTTAACTTTTTTACTGCACACATCAAAGTTAAGGACACCATGTCCTTAAGTTTTTCACTACACACATCCAAGTTAAGGACACCATGTCCTTAACATTTTCACTGCACACATCAAAGTTAAGGACACCATGTCCTTAAGTTTTTCACTACACACATCCAAGTTAAGGACACCATGTCCTTAACATTTTCACTGCACACATCAAAGTTAAGGACAACTTGTCCTTAACCTTTACAATGCATACATCAAAGTTAAGGACACCATGTCCTTAGCTTTTACAATGCACACATTCAAGTTAAGGACAACTTGTCCTTAACTTTTACAATGCACACATCAAAGTTAAGGACACCATGTCCTTAACTTTTTCAGTGCACACATCCAAGTTAAGGACACCATGTCCTTAGCTTTTTCACTGCACACATCAAAGTTAAGGACACCATGTCCTTAACATTTTTGCACATATCCAAGTTAAGGAAACCATGTCCTAAAGTTTATAAAACAGACTAATAAACTCTTTTTGATTGTTTACCTGTTGTTGTCGTCTATCTTTATGTTAGTGTATGTTCCCGAATTTTTACTTTTCATCATATACAAGTATGAAGACAATAATTCATAATTCTCTTCAGGACTTCCTCTTATTAAAGCTGAAGCACGTTGAATAACACGCCATGCCTTGTGATAACCAATGTCTAGTCCATGCAGTTTTTGCATTTCTGCCATGACAAAGGCTGGTGTAACTTCAAACCTTGGGTCTCGAAGATTGTCGATAATGTAACCACTAATCAACTTTGAAGTTGCATGCCTTTGATCAGCTTTCATAGTGTTAACTAAGCAGTCATGATTTTTCTCAATCTTTACTATCTTGAATAGTGTTGAATCTTTAATTTTGAAAGCACGCACACACCACCCACACCTATCATCATTGCATTTCAACGAATATCTTGTTGAGCTTGATATAACAACCTTGAATTCAAAATGTCCTTTAATTTCTATATTGGAAAAATAGTTAATTATACTCTCTTTTTTTGTCAAATATTGATCCCACTTTTATTTTATCCAACGAAGCATTTTCTTTTAATATCGTAGTTGGGGATTCTTTTTGTTTCGAATTTGAGCTTCGTCTAGTTAGTTGAGTAAAGGTTTTTTCAGCACCTTCTTCTATTACCGGTGCACTCTCTAAGACTTGAATACCCAAAGCTTGTTCGTTGTCAATCTCTATAATGCTTTGTCCTTCCACTTGAATAGAATCAAATATTTGAAGCACCTCTTCAGTTATTGGTTGAGCTTCAACCACATCTATTTCCATTATCTGTTGGCATTTGTCTTGATTGTGTTGTTGAGTTTTTATATTGACATGTTCAAAGGTGCTTGTAGAACCAAAAACTCTTTCTGAAATATCAACAATGAAACGACAGCCCTTGAAGAGTGAATGCCTTTTTAGTAACTCTATACATGTGTGAAGATCTAAATCTTTGGATACAAGCATTCCCTTGCTTGTTCCCAGATTGATATCAAACCATATCATTGCTTCAAACTTGTCTCTATCCAATTCAATAACTTCAAAGACCTGGTTAATGAAATTTTCAAATCGAATTGCCTCAGGTACTAGAACAAGCTTTGTTTGATGATCAAGATACTTATAGTCTGCAGTCCATCTATCATTAAAAGCAACTATAATACATATTGTATCCATCCTGCAAGTCAAGAAAATGGGAAATTCAGGACATATTTATACAACAATAGTGAAGTTAAGGACAAGATGTCCTAAACTTTATCAATACAAGTTGCAAAACACAGGACACTATGTCCTTAATATTTAGAACAACAGTCATGAAGTTAAGGATATCATGTCCTAAACTTTATCAATACAAGTTGCAAATACATGACACTATGTCCTTAATATTTACACAGTAGTCATGAAGTTAAGGACATCAAGTCCTAAACTTTATTAGTACAAGTTACAAAAACAAGACACTATGTCCTTAATTTTTACACAGTAGTCATGAAGTTAAGGACATCATGTCCTAAACTTTATCAGTACAAGTTGCAAAAATAGGACACTATGTCCTTAACTTTGATGTGTGCAGTCAAAATGTTAAGGACATGGTGTCCTTAACTTGGATGTGTGCATTGTAAAAGTTAAGGACATGGTGTCCTTAACTTTGATGTGTGCATTGTAAAAGTTAAGGACAAGCTATCCTTAACTTTGATGTGTGCATTGTAAAAGTTAAGGACAAGCTGTCCTTAACTTTGATGTGTGCAGCGAAAATTTTAAGGACAAGTTGTCCTTCACTTTGATGTGTAAAGTGAAAATATTAAGGACATGGTGTCCTTAATATTTAGAACAACAGTCATGAAGTTAAGGACATCGTGTTCTTAACTTTATTAATATAATTTACAAATACAGGACACTATGTCCTTAATATTTAAAACAACAGTCATGAAGTAAAGGACATCGTGTCCTTAACTTTATTAATACAAGTTGCAAAACACAGGACACTTTGTCCTTAATATTTTTTAGAACAACAGTCATGTTAAGGACACAAATCCTTAACATTATGTCCTCAATATTTACAGAACAATCACAGAGTTAAGGACGCGATGTCCTTAACGTTATCAATACAGAAAAGAAAAAAAAATCAAATTCCTAGCATCTTATTCTTCAGTAACGAAATAAAAATCCACACAAACACACAAAAGTATATAGAGATATCTGAAACTTTAGAACTTACTGTAATTTTATGGTGAATTTTGGACGAGAAAGTTGAATTCTGAACTTAGACTGGAAGTTTTAAATCGGAAGAGAAGCTTCTGCAATTTTGGACGATCATAATAATTCTCTGCACGTAAGTTTGCACGTAAGTTTGAGCTGCTGCTGATCATAAATAAGGAGCGTATGTATTAGCGAAATCCTATATAGCAGAAGGCTATTTTCGTTCGGGTGGGTAAAAGCTTTTTAAAGCAGTGGTTAAAGACTAAATATATTTAAAACAATAATTTAAAAATAAATACATGTGTTATTAGTAGCTATGTGTGCACATCCCCTTTTCCTTTTAGTATATTTTCCTTTTAAGTAAAAGCTTATTAGTGGCTATCTGTGCACATCCCCTCTTCCTTTTAGTATAGTTTCCTTTTAAGTAAAAGCTCTCCCGCAGTCTCTCCTGTTCACGGGTCACCTTCCCTCCCTAATTTCTCTGTTACTTTTTGTATCAATTGAGCCTTAATGGCTTCTCTCAGAATTCAATTTTCTCAATTGGGTTTTCTACAAAAACTACACTTTTCAAGAACCCAACTCAATCTTTCAATAAGGAAGCAGAAAACTGCGTGTAGTTTGAGAAATGGACCGAGAAAACCTATGTGGAGGTCAAGGGTGTTGTCCACAGAGGCAATACAAGCTGTCCAGTCTCTGAAATTAGCCAAATCACCTGAAAAAATGGAGGAGGTTTTGAAAATCAAACTTAGTAGGCTATTGAAGGCTGACGTGTTGGACACCTTAACTGAGCTGCAAAGGCAAAATGAGGTTCACTTGGCTCTCCAGGTATTTTCAACATAACTTCTTTCATCTCTTTCTGATATAGGAGCCCTAGCTGATATGAAGCTACTTTTTTCTCTTCGTTGAAAGTAGAGTGACTCTTTTTTGCTCCCTGTTGTCTTACAAGTATGTTCTTAGGTTTGAGACATATTAGAGGGACGTATTTAGCCAAAAACTCAATTGCATTCGCTGAATTACAAGTTTTGGTTAATGATTACAGTTTTTGACTGTTAGAAAGCAAAAAGGAAAGGTGGAGTAAATAGTTTTGATGTAGACAAAAAGTTTTTGATATAGCTAGTTAAGCTATGCCTTGATGCAAATGGATGCTTTTTCTCTTTTCTTTTTGAGCAAGTCCTATACTCTATACTCTATACCTTCGAAGATCATTTGAGATCTATAGGAGACCGGTGGCACTGAGGATCATGATCATTATTTAAAAAGGTATAGAGTATGGGTTAAGAATCAAACTGTATTAGTAGGAAGCATGAGGAATATTTGAAAGCAGTTAAGATAGTAATTATGTCCATAGACAAAATTGAACATGTAAAAAGATTTTCAAGGAAGCTTATTAGTTGTATTAGCTTTGCTTTGGCTTCAATCTTTTTGAATTGGGTCTTTTAAGGTGATTAGTGTGACCTTGTTTTACGAATTTGGATTCTTTTTGGAAAAGGATTAGTGCTTGTGCTGCGGTATGCTATGCACATTCTGCAATGAGCCTGAAATTGCATGTCTGCTCTTGCTCTTCTTCAGCTTGTAATGTTTTAGAGAAGTTTGGTAGCTTCCAATGTGTATCTTTATTTTAATCTATGGGGTTCAAACTTTGGAAGACCAAAATAAATTCCATAGAAACATGTCCAAAGCCGATCTTTTTCTGAAACTTTCTTTAACCACCCATTGATTCTGTTGTTAGGGATGAATACTACCAATTTTTATTTGTATATGATGTCGATTCATTAGTTTACTTTGTAATCAGCTCATCCCTTCTAGTACTATAATTCAAAAGGTTATACGGCTTTGGAATTCCTTTTTATCTTTTCTTTTGTTTGAAACACATACTGTCTGAGACTACAGTTCTATGTGATGGCTTAAAATGCAATTTGATTGCATAAATTAATAACCTCAGGCAGGTCAGTTTCCTATAAATGATCAAATAGAGGATTTGAGCTTTGGGTGGGTGGCTTTTTTTTGGGGGGGGGGGGGGGGGGGGGAGAAGAAATGCAATGCTCTACAAAAATAGAAGACTTTTAACCTATACTTTCAGGGAAAATGACAAAAATGGTCTGTTAAGATTGAGGGTAGGTTCAAAGTAGACCATTAAGTATGCACTGCACAGATTTGGTGCTTTAAACCAAAAGTTAAAATTTTTAGTTTCCGTCAAATATTTAGCGAACTCTATCTGTTAGATTGACGGGAACTACGAAAAGGGGAAATTAGCAGGAACTCACATTTAGAGGTACAATTTTTGTAGTTTCTGCTATTTTCGATTTAGTTTAGAGTCTGGTGCAGCTTTTTAGTGTGTAATTTTGGCTAATTTTTTATATCTTTTTGGTCTCTAGTGCAGTTTTTGTGTTGCAATTTTTAGGATTTGATGGGACTTTCCTGGTATTTAAGGTTTATTTTTTTTCCCCCACAGTTTCCATCAAATCTAACTAACATAAATTTTTAAATAGATTTAGTTTAGAGTCTGGTGCAGCTTTTTAGTGTGTAATTTTGGCTTATTTTTTATATCTTTTTGGTCTCTAGTGCAGGTTTTGTGTTGCAATTTTTAGGATTTGATGGGACTTTCCTGGTATTTAAGGTTTATTTTTTTCCCCACAGTTTCCATCAAATCTAACTAACATAAATTTTTAAATATTTGATGGAGACTAGAAGTGTTAACTTTCGACAAACTTAAAGGACCAAAAGTGCGTAGTGCATATTTAAGGGACTATTTTGAACCTACCCTCAAACATAAGGGACCATTTTTGTCATTTTCTCTACAATTTGACGATGAAATGTTATTTTTCCATTTAATTTAATAGGCAGAGGAATATCTTTCATGACATGGTTACGAAGATGTTGACTATATGTCTCTTGTAATGCAAGACTAGTTAGTTTTTTATAAATGAGAAACACGTATTCTTGTTATAGAACCATTCAGTGTTACTTATCTGTGTTTCTATTAACCTTTCTTTTGGGGGTTGAGGGGTTGGTGGGGCTGCCTGGGAGGGTGCTGGACGTAATGTCTGAACTTAGCTCTTCTACATTTTGACGTTTGCTTCTCATTTGACGTTTTTGACTGTTTGAGCACGGTCATGCATAGATGTGGCAGCTTAAGATTTGCTTCTCACTTTGTTGTGTCTTAGCATTCAGACTTTAACACCCCCCAACTTAAAATGTGATCATGATCAACTTGATCTAGTAAAACCTTTGATTCTGATTTTGAAGATGCAGGCTAGACTGATTAAAATCCCATACTTTGTGGAGGAAAGCATATTAGATATGGATAAAAAGACCAATATATAGCTCTTTCTTTCTACTTCTGTTTTCTCTTCTTGCCTATCATGAAAATATCTGCTCATGGCTTCCTCCCATCTTAATACTTCTCCTTATTTTTCTTAAATGTGCATTTATCTGAAAACTATCAGGGTTCAGGTGTTCAACTTTGTCAGGAATGAGGAGTGGTATGTACCAGATTTATCTGTGTTCAATAGTATGATAATGATGCTGGGAAAAAACAAATTGATTGGAATGGCTGAACAACTCTTTGTGGACATGACGAAGGAGGGCTTACAACTAGATAGCAGAACCTATACAGAGTTTATCGGGGCATACTTTAGAGTAGATCTCGTAGAGAAGGCAATGGAAATGTATGAACTGATGAAGAAATCAGGATTCCTCCCAGATAAATTGACTATGAGTATTTTGATAAGGAGCCTTCAAAAGGCCCAAGAGAAAGAGCTTGTGGCTAGAGTAAAGAAAGAATGCGCCGACTATATTGACTATCCAGAGAAATTTCTAAAAGAAATTGAAAGTACCAATGTAAGTAGATCAACTCCCTCTAACGAATATCAATTTTTCATACATGGAGTTATAGTTTACTGCTATATGTGTTCTCCAATACCCTGTCATTCTGGTATGCTCTTCGACCTCTGCACTGTGGCTTAAATTTTTTCTTCATTCCTCTTCATAAAATCTTTTTATTTATTCCTATGTCATGCTAAAGTCCACGTTCATTTGTAGCCATGCCATCACCACTTGAAGGAGGTAGCATTAAGTGGCCAATGCTATTTTTATACATGATTTTTCTGGTAGACGAAGCTTAGGATAAGGTCCAAACTAAAATTGGGTTAGTGCCCATGCTTGTCCTAAAACTTTGGGTTTTTGGGATAATCCAAATAGGAATTGGGTGGGAATCATTGTAAAACCATAACTTAAGGATAAAGTTGTAGAACTAAAATGTTGGTGATAACATTTCTTGTTAAGACTAGCGTGGGGAAAGGTAACAATCAACATAGTTAGTGCCTTACTAAGTAAAGATTAGATGAGGAATCTAAAACAAAATTCAGAAAAGATGTGGATATTTTGATCTAGGGGTCAAGTGGCTAGCAAATCTTTGTCGAGAGAGATTTGAATGGATGTGTGGATAGAAATAGTGACAGATTTGGCCGAGACGTTACCAGGACTAAAAGGTAGGATAATTTAAAGTTTGCTCTAAGTTATGATTTTTAGCCAACACCTAAATGGAGAGAACACAACTTGATAACACTTAACTATTTACGATGTCTCCTGCGGGGACGGAAATCAAAATCGGGCAGGATTTGCTCAATCAAAGACAGTTCTAGAGATAACCATAGTCAAATAGACTTCTTCCTTATTGAAAGAAGTGACATGATCACATGTACGAACTGTAAGGTTATACCAAGAAAAGCTCTAGAACAATTGGAGGAGATTCAGTTACCTAGAACTGTAGGCTTACACCGGAAATCTGTGTTGAGCTAATACTTCTTTACACAAGTCAGAAGTGGACTAGCAAATAGTGATAAGATGAGGTCCTAATCCTATGATGTATGTTATTGTGCTAATTGACGCAAATTAGCAAGGATTCAACAAAAACTAGAACTATGGAGAATCACCCTAGAAAGTAAAGGTTTTAAGATGAGTAGAAGTAAGAATATATGCACTACAAGTTCATCCTTCACAAGATTAATGAAGTTGAGTTGGGATTAAATCAATTGTTGTGCCTACATGCAGTAAATTGAAGCATCTAGGCTCAAATGGCAGGATAGGTTAAGATGTAACCTCGATCTGGATTCCTAGGGCGCCCACGAAGGTGTGCTTTTTTGCATGGCTAGCGGCAAGGGGAGTGATTTTGACTGCTGAAAATCTCCGAAAGAGGGGAATTACACTTGTTAGTTGGTGCTACATGTGTAAAAGCTCAGGAGAAGAAGTTGATCACCTTATGTTGCATTGCCCGGTGTCCTCAGCTTTGTGGAGGGCAATCCTGAATCTCTTTGGTGTTCAATGGGTGATGCCAAGCACTGTAAAGGAAATGTTATATAGCTGGGGCAGTTTCCGTAGAAGAAGAAAGCAAAAGGCGTGGAAATTCGCTCCGTTAACTCTCATGTGGGTAGTATGGGGGGAGAGAAATAGGAGAGCTTTTGAGGAGATTGAGTCTCCTTTTTCACATCTTAAGAATAGCCTTTTATCTTTGATCGCTTTTTGGTGCACTCACTTAGCCCCTACTTGTATAGAAGATTGGGCGTCTTTTGTAGAGAATCATGTTCTGATGTAAATTCTCTACGTCTTTGGTATACTTTGTGTACACGGGAGTTCTCTCCCTTTTGATTAATACAATTTACCTTATCAAAAAAAAGGTTAAGATGTAATACATAATTAAAATAGGATGGCTGACGAAGGAATGTTACGAGAGTGCTACGTCATAGGAAAATATCTACCAAAGTGAAAGACAAGTTCTTTTTTTTAATGTAGTTATCTACAACAACAACAAACCCAGTATAATCCCACGAGTGGGATATGAGGAGGGTAGTGTGTACGCAGACCTTACCCCTACCTTAAGGGTAGAGAGGCTGTTTCCGATAGACCCCCAGCTCAAGGAAAGAAAAAGCAATCAATACAGCAAGACAATAAGAAAACAAGCAGTAACCATAACAGGATAATAAGAGAACAAGCATTATCGACAACAATATAATAAGAAAACATGTAGTAGTCAAGGCTGTCAATAACCGAAATACAAGGCAACGATTAGTTAAGGTGAGACTAGATGGGATTGCGGTGCCAAGATGCAAAAACTTTAGATATCTAGGTTCATTATTTCAATAGAATGGAATGATAGATGAAGATGTTACCTATAGGATTATAATCGGATGGTTGAAGTGGAGAAATGCTGATACGAATTTAAAATGCGGAAGACAAGAAATTAAAGACCAGGGATATAATTTGAGAATAGACCCAACAAAGTAATAATTGAAAAACAATTGATATAATCAATCACCCAATAATTATATAACAAAGTGAACCTAAACTATAGGAATATCTTCAAGTGGAAGTGTGATTCCACTTGAAGAACACACCTTGAATAAAGTTGTCATCAACAATGGCAAATTAACATTACATCTCTCAAAAGAGTATTCATCATTCATCAAAATAGTCTACCCTAAAATGAAAGTCGTAAGGCTATTTATACTAGAGTGGGTATTTGGCTACAAATGACCCAAATACCCCTAAGCTAATTATAAGGAGCTAAGTATAGTCACTTATTACAAGTATAGCCTCCAATTGCGTGTAGTCTTCAATTGATGGTAAATGACACTCATAACCACCCAATTGTGGAAGTAGCCATCAATTGACATTCAAAGCGCGTGTTGGCTATCTTGGGCCGTATCATACTCCATTCTTGAAAAGAATTCGTCCTCGAATTCAAACCTTGCAACACATGAAAAGGAATAAGTACAAGTATAAACTCATCAAGAAGCATATATATGCATGGTAAAGATAAGTCAAGAAAGTGCCCATGCATTGTTTTGACCCAATTCTTCCTAATAGGTACAAAGACTCCTCTAAAAACGATATACAAAACATCATCACATGGAATCATAAAATTTTCCAAGTAAGCACAAAGTATGACTCCTATGAACTTAACAAACAAGGGAAATGAATTAGGTAGTCCAAACATAGAAGCATACCGCATGTAGAAAGCAAATCTGCTAACTCTCTTATCATTCAAAGTCACTTCATGCCAAGAGTCAAAATAATCACGCTCAAATTTCCATAAAGACTTCTTAGCACCAAGAAACAAAACATCAAGCATTTCATGCTTACAAAGAATTGTGCATGCTAAAGACACTTCACAATAAGACTCATGCACCATTTTAATCCAAAGATCTCTACCACATGCATCAAAGGGAACACTCTTGAAGTATAATTAAGCATCCTTTAGATCAACAAAGAACACTTTTCCCAACAAAACAATAGGCACTTGGCTTAAATGCAAACCACAATCATAGAGTGAATTACCAAGATCAAAAACAAATATTATTCCCAAATTCTTTTCTAAGTTGGCCACTTGGCAACTCACGACATGAATATAATAGCAACATCAACAAGTCATAGTCTAGAAGTACAAAGTTGCTACTATGAAAGTCAAGGGTATAGCCAATTCCCTCTATGGCTTTAGAAAGCCAAAAATAAGCACTAACCAATCAAACATACCATTCTTGCCTTGGATAAGCATTGAAGTTTCGAAACCTTTTGTCGGCCCAAATGGTAGCTTCAAGCATCTATCTCTCTTGTGGTTCCCAGTTTGATGATCCTTCAAAAAGAAGTTCAAGACGTTAGTGAAGTCACCACAAGAAGATTTATTACATTTAAGATCAAAAAAGTTATTCCACGCTTCAAATTGATCATTCTTACATTTCATCCTAGAAACATTTATAAAGCTTGACCAAAATGTATTCTCAAAGCTTAAAATAGAGAAAGTACAAAAATTAACACTAAAGCTAGCATCAATTAGCTCACTCCCCTTTTTTATCAAAAACCTCTTCATCCTTGAGGATCCTTCTCAAAGGAACAAGTTAACTCCTCAATAGAATTTTCCTCTTCAAAGGAACAAGAAAACTCTCCTTTGATATCCTTCACAATAAAGAAAGAAGAGTTAGACAGATTAGAATTAAGATATGTTCTCACTCACACTCTCTTTGTTTTTCTCTTATCTCATCTTCTTTCCATCTCACTCTCTTCATTTTTCTCCTCACTCTTTTCTTTTTCTCCTTGTGACAATCCAATGTCATTTTGCAACTCATGCTCTCCTTTTCCCTCTCTAGGATTGTCACTTTGCTCTCCCTTACTCCACTCTATCTTTTCTCTCTCATTCTTTTCTTGACTTGGAGTATCAAGCATTTCACAAGTAACTTTATCATGTGAAAGATCATCTTGTTCAAGAAGGTGATCTCTCAACTTTTCCTTGAGCTCTTGCCAAGAACATTTTGGTTTCCAAGATGATCCCCAAGGGTTGAGACTTAACCCATATTTGGTTCTCAAATGCATTGATAGTGCCCAAGCAATCACTATCATCTTGTCTCACTCCTTGCAAATATCCTCATTCTCAAGAATTCTCTCCATTTCGGACTCCCATTTGACATAGGTTTCCCTTTTAAAGTGCTTGCTTGCCCCTTCTCCCAACACCTTAACTACTCTCATTTGCTTCCTTTTGTAATAGTCACAAATAGATTGCTCAACTTGAGGCACACTAGCATTACTCATTCTTTGGATCTTCAACAATTAAAGTACAAGAGGCATCTTGAGTATTTTGGACATCCTCAATAAGCGTCAAATCATTTTCAAGCACTTTATGACCAAACTTAAGAGTAGTCATATTTTCATAAGTAGAAGAAGCAACAATCACGTCACTTGAATAACTACCATTTAGATCATCATGTTGGCTATTAGGACAAACATAGGTAGTATGTCCAAAATTCAAGCACATTTCACATTTGAGGTTACTTTCACAAGTAGATGCCTTT